AATAGACTTTGTTCCTTTGATACGCTTAAGCTGGTCTTTGGAACATTTTCACTTACAGTGGAGGAGGATCTCCGAAAAGTTGATAAAGATGTACGATCTGAGATGACCTTGTCGTCCTTCAGTGTAGTTTATTATAATGTAAGCCACGATGTGAGACAATAATGCGTAATTATGGTCATCAGATTAGTAGTTTTACTAAGGGCAACAAAAAACTTGGGCACCTTCGTTCTTATAAAGTGTAATTAAGTTTCAGTTACTTGCGATAATTAATAGGTTTTTAAAAAGATCATTAAATTAGAGCTTATAGAAATTAAAAATATACACTTTGAATAAACTACTTAGATTTTGTGATAAGTTATAAAAACATTTTAATTTTTTGCTAAGCTGTGCGATTGAAATTTCTAGTGGACAGCTCTTGCCTTGTTGCTTGAGTGAAACGACGTTTAGAATTGGGGGTTAAGGCCACTCTGCCCACCCTAGAAACAAAGCAGAAACAGCACATTAGAATTTCCAAACCCAAACAAATATCAAACTGCTTTGTTCTTGAAAAGTCAAATATTCTTGAATTTTTGTTTGCTTGCTTTAGAGCGAAGTCACATTGATCTACCTGCTGTGTAAGTCGTGTGGAATCGAACCACGGATTTTAGCGCTGTAAGGCAGCAAACTTAAAGCTGTACCACCAGGGGACTCTTTAATTTTAATAAGTCTCGTACAAAATTTAAAATCAGTTTACTTTTAGAGCAAGCAGATCGGGAAAAAATATTTAAGAGCTAATTAAAAAGTAACGATACTCTATTTTAAAATTTGGGCTTTATTAGGAGTGGGGGTAGGGTACGAATGATGACCACCATGTGACTATATAATAGGTGGGTTTACGGGTGCCACAATGCCGTATTTCTAGTAGAGTCTGTTTGTTCCCCTCTCTCGCCAAAAACAGACTTATATCACAAACTTCCCTGTGTAAAAACAGATCTGTATCACAAACTTCCCTGTGTAAAAACAGACCTATATCACAAACTTCCCAGTGTAAAAACAGACCTGTATCACAAACTTCCCCGTGTAAAAACAGACCTGTATCACAAACTTCCCAGTGTAAAAACAGACCTATATCACAAACTTCCCAGTGTAAAAACAGACCTGTATCACAAACTTCCCTGTGTAAAAACAGACCTATATCACAAACTTCCCAGTGTAAAAACAGACCTGTATCACAAACTTCCAGTGTAAAAACAGACTTGTATCACAGACTTCCCCGTGTAAAAACAGACCTATATCACAAACTTCCCCGTGTAAAAACAGACCTGTATCACAAACTTCCCCGTGTAAAAACAGACCTATGTCACAAACTTCCCTGTGTAAAAACAGACTTGTATCACAAACTTCCAGTGTAAAAACAGACCTATATCATAAACTTCCCCGTGTAAAAACAGACCTGTATCACAAACTTCCAGTGTAAAAACAGACCTATATCACAAACTTCCCCGTGTAAAAACAGACTTGTATCACAAACTTCCAGTGTAAAAACAGACCTATATCATAAACTTCCCCGTGTAAAAACAGACCTGTATCACAAACTTCCCTGTGTAAAAACAGACCTGTATCACAAACTTCCCCGTGTGATCTTTGTTTTTAGAGTTGAGAAATTATATTAAGAGAGAAAATTAAGTAAATTAAAAATAACAACCTTGATTTCTGTCAATTTGGGAGCTTTCCGTCGCAATGCAGTGGCGTAGTATTCGTGCTTTCAACTCGATCTAATCGATTCTCAAGTTTGAATTCTGCAATAATTCCCCAGTTTGAGAAGAATAACAGCGAACACTTTTCAGTCCTAATTGTTTTATTATACTCAACGTTTACCGTTATAATGTGCAATGAAAATCATACGCGAACAAAACAATCAAACTGTTTTGTTCTGTCTTCTCATGAGAAATGTGGACTCTTAAAGCTGATGGCTGACATGTTTGCAATTTCTCACAATTAAACGTTTTCCTCGAAGTATACACTAGGTAGCGCTTCAACAATCAAGATATGTGTGCGTTTGTGTGTGTATATACAAAATAGGTTTAGCTTTAAGTGATCTCAAACAAGAGTAGACAATGAAATAGTGTTGTACTCGTAGAAGTCAGTTCAATGAGCATAAAGTCGATAATTATTTAGTTGATGAATTAAAAGAGACAAAAATACATTTGTGAAAAAAAAGTGAAGTCTGAGAATATAATCATAACCCTAAAAAAAAAAAGAAATACTATTTTCTTTTCTTTCTTACACAAGCTATGTTTTATTCCGTTGCCTAGTGCTGTCCACGTACATATATATACGTGTACCGAGCTTCCGATCGATGACGTAGGCTGCTTGCTGCACGTTCTCAGCCGGCATGGAAAAGATTTCTAAACCAGGGTAGTACAGTCGCTAGAGAACCGTATGCTGCGATACCAGCTTGATTTTGTTCTACTGGTGTGGAGATTCCCCACACTTTTATTAGCAGTATGGTGTTTTTAATATGGTATTTTTACCAGAGATAGTCTAGTCCTCGACCCACAATGCCCGTGCGTAGGGGGCATGTTGCCCCTCAAAACACCTTCATCGATTCTATTATCCGCAAGTTTGACAATTTAAGTAAGTATTGTAAGGCTTAACTTGTTATATAATTTCGTGAATCTTATTTTTAAGTGCATTCCTTATTAATGGATATGTTCTCGTTATTTTAGGCTTAAATAACCCAAAAATTTTGTCTGCAAAAATATACTGACGTTATGACTGGTCAGTTGTTTGTTGTTCTTGTTATTATTGCTAATTGTTCCAGTCTGCCTTTTACCCTTTTTCTAGTATTTAAAATTATTTTATTTAATAACTAAAATTTAAGTATAAATATTTACTTTAAATCAACGGCAGTTATTACATCTACTTTCGTATATTTTCAACAGAGAAAGTTCATTCTTTCGTCTGGTAACAACATTTTATTGTAATTGTATATTTTTTTTCCCCACAGAAATTCAGTTCTGTATCTAAACTACACCCTACATAAAAACGGGTTGAATGTCAAGATTTTAAATGTTTTTTTTTCCTTTCAATTTTAATCTGAAATACCATATTTTCAGTGTAGATGACGCTTCTCCACTAATTAAGTACAGTCACAACAAATATCTGTTAGATTCTGTAAGGAATTTTCTCGTGTTGTTCGATAATAAAATAAGGTTTATGAATGTTTGGTAATCATACACTGATACAGGGAGTCGATGATGTATACATTTCATTTCTTTTAACATTTTGTGAGTAATTAAATAAAAGTTTTTCCCCTTCCTCTGATTAAAACCGTAACTGTTAAAAACTTGTAATTACAAATTCCGTTCGTATCATACACATACATATATATAAAACTATATATGTGAGTGTATTTGAAAAAAAGTGGACTTCAAAACGTATTTGTTTTTTTTTTATATTAATAACTCCTAGCCCCCCAGTGGCACAGTCTGCGGACTTTCAACGCTAGAATCCGGGTTTCGATACCCGTGGTGGGCAGAGCACAGATAGCCCATTGTGTAGCTTTGTGCTTGAATACAAACAAACAATAACTCCTAAATAACGAAAAGAAAACAAATGCGTTGACAAATTAGTTTTCAACCAACGACAAACATACAATATTTTAATCATTTTTTGGCAATTCAATATTAAATAGTTTAGATATATTAATTGTTACGTGACAACTACGGAAAATGATAATTTCTCCGCACTTATAGGTTTTGACTGTTAAATTACTTGTGGAAATTTATTACAAACACACTAATATTAACGTGAAATATTGTTTTTATTTGATATAAAAACCTATAAAGTTAATTTTTTTTTCTATAATATTGTTCGCACTTTTTAAATTACGAGTACAGCTGAATTCTATGACAAACGCCCCCCCCCCAGAGGCACAGCGGTATGTCTGTGGACTTACAACGCTAGAAACCAGGTTTCGATACCCGTGGTGGGCAGTGCACAGATAGCCCATTGTGTAGCTTTGTGTTTAACTTCAAATTTTCCCTGTGTTTCTTCGCGTAACAAGTGATTTTAACGTGCTGTTTTGTATTTAGAATTTTAAAAATATTATATTAAAATGTTGGGCTTACAGTAACGACGCTAGCGTTGACATTGATTTTGTTATCTTTTTTTAAGTGTAAAACAAAAGCATGGAAAATATAATAACTTTTAGAACACTCTATCCCTAATAAATTGAAACACTTTAAATCAGCTCTCTCTCCCTATTAGAGACAATTGACCGAACCTTAAGTTGTTCTAATACAACTATTAGTTAACCAAAGGGCAGAGCAGACAGTTGCTTATGAGCCCACGATGTTAAGTCGTTAAGCCTTTCTTTTTCTATCTCAGATAATATTTAGAAGTTGGAAATTATAGTATTTTAAAGAGCCTTATATTTGGTAAAAGGTTATTTTGATGAGTAAAAAATTCCAAGGAAAAACAAGCATTGAGGGATTATGGAGAAAATCGCCCACGGGCCCCCTTTAGTCTTAATTCGGCCCTATTTCTGAAGCCTCATTTTCCATCGAATGAAAATATAGTCAAGAACTATCTTCTATTCGCATTTTCAAAGACTTTAAACTTTGTTAAAGTTCTGTGTAAACGTGAAGTAAATAATGATTCACTTATGTTTTTTTTTAGATGGAAGAAGCGAACATTATTATTATTCAATTAGTGTTATGGTTATAAAGTACAAAATAGTTAACATCAACGTTATACTTCTGGAAAACTTCTGAGTAATCAGGCCAAACTCTCAATAATGTTCTATCGTAAAGTTGGAGATGAATAAAAAAGAAGGTATACAAATATAAGATATAAAAAAAGGTTTAATCTTTAATTAACGATGATTACGACTACGTGTTGGTCTGTTTATCTTTTGTGTTTTTACAAAAGAAAGTTAAGATCAAAATAAGATCAAAACTCTATTAAAATGTTATAGACAGATTACAGACAAATACTCTTCTGAACTTGAAGCTCAAACGAATATTTTCTTAAGGGTTGTTTTCTAAAATATAGAATAATTAATAACATGACACTTTTAGGAATAAATAAAAGCACGTTTTATGAAACTTGAGAAAAATTTAAACCACGTTTCATTAGTATTTTGAAACTTGAGAATAATTGAAACGTTGTTTCACCAGTACTTTGAAACCTTGAAATAATTAAAAGCTAGATTTATCAGTACAGTGAAACTTGAGGAATAATTTAAACCACGTTTTCATACTTTGAAAATTCGAAATAATTCTATCTATTGTTTCGTTGCTACCTGGGGACACTGTTTTAATTATTAACTTTCAATCATTTAATACTACTGGTTGATCAATGATTTGAAATTTGAAACCAGTGTCTCAATATCAAAATATAATTGTTACTTGTAAATAACTAAGACCAATCTTTCATCACAACTTTGAAAAACTGATTTAATTAAAAACGACGAATCATTGGAATTTAGGATAATAAAAAGAATTAAAAACGATGTTTCGTTAGTATATTATAACTTGAAAATAATTAAGACCGATATATTGTCGGTACTTTGAAATGCTGAAAGAATAAGAGCAAAGCTTTCAAACGATGAAATAGTTAAGAACAACGTATAGTTAGTATTTTAAAGCTTGTAAATAACTTAAAAGTCAAGATTTCCTCTGGAGTTTGAAACTTCAAAGTAACTAAGGTCAATATTTAATATTTCATTACCGTACTTTGAAATATTAAAAAATAGTTAAAACAATGTTCTATCAATACTTTGAAACTTGAAAACAGTTATGTCATATTCATCAAACTGGCCTGTCCATACTGATGAACATCTAAAGATTCTACAAAAGTCCAAAATATAAATTCCCTCCAAACAGGAACTAATAAAAATATTTTTTTTTCAACGAATGAGAAACGTTACTTTATGTTTGGAGAAAACTTTCGTTTCGACATTTGTTTTAGGCTCACACTTACTAAAAGTGATTGTTCAACATATCTTCTTAAGCTAAGTACTTTTTCAGGGAATTCGTGTGTAACATTAAGCTAAGTCCTCCCCTTGAATTATTTCAGTCATAATCCTAAGTTCCCACCCCTTCCTTTCAAGTGAACCAGGTTTATGTTGAACATCATCTATTGTTTAAGTAGTCCAGATGCAATATTAAGTTCCCTCTTTTAGTGATTTAAGATATGTTTAGTTGCCTCCAGATAGTACAAATGTATTGTTAAGGTAATGTTGCCTTCACGTAGTCCAGATGTATTGTTAAGGTAAGGTTGCCTCCAGGTAGTCCAAGTTTAATATTAAGTTCCCTCTTTTAGTGATTTCAAATATTTTAATGGTATCTAGATGTAATGTTAAGGTAAGGTTCCTCCAGGTAGTCCAGATGTATTGTTAAGGTAAGGTTGCCTTCACGTAGTCCAGATATATTTTTAAGGTAAGGTTGCCTCCATGTAGTCCAAGTTTAATATTAAGTTCCCTCTTTTAGTGATTTCAAATATTTTAATGGTATCTAGATGTAATGTT